CTCCCACCTCTGTAACTCTGAACCAGCTCATAGTTTAGAACTCCCTCCTCCTAATAAAATGATAGCCATGAAATAGCGGGTTTGAGGTGCAGTTTGTGTGTTTACTCCATTCATATAAATTCAGACCGGTTACATCTAGCTTCTCATTTGCATATCCCCATCTAACGCTGTGCCGTGGCCTGGCAGGCGGGTGTGCAGGGATCCTGGCTAGAAGGAAACAGTTGAGAATTGCATAGAGCTGGACTTGATGCCCTGTGCATCCACTGTGGTGGCTTCCAGAGACTCCACCTCCCTCATCCTTCTGGAAAGTGGAGCCTGCCATAGGCCGTGAGAAGGAAGCACGCTGAAGGCTAAGCAGATGCTTGTTTTTTTTGTTCGTTTTGTTTTTTGTTTTTTTGTTTTTTTGTTTTTTCAGTACCTTCTTGTATCTGTCAGGGAAATGAGGATGCAGTGACAAGCACGGCCAGGATCATGGTGGCTTGGCACAGGCTTTGTCCCTGAAAGGCCTGCCCCATGCTGCTCATGGTGGTAGCCTACTAAACCCAAGTTCTATCCCCAGACACCTGGCACAGGTCTTGGCAAGGAGCACAGGCCACCCGTCTTCCTGAAGACCCAGCTTGGGTACACAGGAAGTGGCAAACGGGCTCAGCCACTCTCTGTCATGGCTAACATGGACTGTCAACTTGAGGGGAAGCTAGACTCACCTAGGAGACAGGCCTCCAGGCACACCTGTGAGGATTGTCTGGGTTAGGTTAGCTCTGAGCATGCCTTGAGGGGTTACCTTGATTAGGTTAATTGAAGGGTGAGACTCACCGTGAATGAGGGCTGAGGTCCAGGGCTGAACAAGGTGGAGGAATAGAGCTTAGAACTAGTGTTTTGTCACTCTGTTTCCTAACTGCCAACACAATACAACCAGCCACCTGAAACTCCCGCCACCATGACTTCCCTACCTAAAGCTGTGAGTCAAAACACCCATCTCTTCCAGGGTATTTTGTCAGAGAAAAAGAACAAATAACCAATACATTCTTCTGGGTGAAAAGATATCTGGGGGTCCAGGTCACCCCCAGATCAGAATTCAGACAGCCAGAAGCACTAGCAGTCATGTGTAGTCCTGGCCTTGGGAGAAGAGGATGGCTTGAACACAGGGTTTGATACAAGCCTGGGCAACTAAGTGAGGCTGTATCAAAGAGAAGTGTGGGGGGATATCAGGCTTCATGGTCAACTAAGTAATATAATACCTCACACCTTTGGTTCCGAAGAAACCCAAAGGTCCTCCAGACCAGAACATCCAAGAGTGGCTGCACAACCCATCCTGCTGGAGAGGTAGCACATGGGCCAGAGATGCTGAGGTGATGGCTCTGCTGGACCATCTGGACCAGTGGGGTGGCCACTGCACTATCCCCCAGACAGGCTGGGTGTTCACGTCCAGCTGTGGCTCCCTCATGCTGGCCACTCTTGCCTGCTGGGACATACCTGATGACTAACTAGGCAGACTAACTGGGGAAGGGTCTGGCTATGGGTAGTGGTCCCCAGGAGCCCAGACAGTCAGGAATGCACAGAAGCCTGTAGCTGCAGAGACCTACCCAGCTGCTGATTCCTACTCCACAGAGGCTCTGCTGCCACCAAAGGCCCGTGGAGAGTCCCAGCCCAAGCTCTTGGTCTGCTATTCTAACATTTAAAACGATTCTGTCACTTGTGGCTGGTGTCTGAACCGGATGTTTCCAGGTTCTCGGCATCTTGTTCAAGGAACTAAAATAAAGGTGCACAGCAATTGCAAAGGAGCAAGGAAACTATTCGAGAGCAAAGAGACAGGGCAGGTAGATTTGTTGCAAGCGAGCTGCAAGCTGTCCCAGTGAGAGAATACTGAAGGGCCCCAGTTACTGCTTAGGGCTGCCCTTTATGGGGCTCAGGGGAAAGATTAGCTGGTTTCTAGGGGACTGAGCAAGAGCGATTCTCTGTCTTGATTGACAGGTTTTTTTCCTACCATGCTTGTTTCTCCCCACAATGCATTTGATTTTAACCATATGCATGCCCAATTATGCTCAAGCAAAAGATGGTAAATAGGTTCTTTTACCAGAGGACACAGCTTGTCTTACTGAGCATGCACCCAAAAACCAGTCCGCATCAGTCCAGTATCAGATATACCTGGGAATATATTTAAGTAGAAGCTATCCACAAAAGGAAGTATTTTTCTGTGTGTGTTTGTTGTTGTTGTGTGTGTGTGTGTGTGTGTGTGTGTGTGTGTGTGTGTGTGTGTGTGTGTGTGGAGGTAAGAGAGCAAGTTTCAGAAATCAGTTTTCTCCTTCTGCCATGTAGGTCCTAGAATCAGACGCAGGTTGTCAGCCTTGGTGGCGAACCTGCTGAGCCATCTCGCCGGGACATAAAATGGGAAGTTACGAATGATCATTAGGAAGGAAATATATTCCACTGTTTGGGTGAATGTGCAGCTCAATGCAGGTACAGTCTTAGATTACCAAGTACATTTTTTAGAAGAGGGTTGAGTACATAGTCCAAGCCAAGTGGAGTCCCAGGCTACAAGCTATTCCCTATGCTTGCCTGCCTCAATTCTATTACAAATTGGAATTGCTGCCAAAAATGATCCTATTGAATGGAATCTCTAGTCACCCCAAAGTCAAACAGAAGCCGGTAAAAGGGGGCAGCTAGGACCTACAAAAAAAAAGTGATAGATACCCAGCTACGCCAGCGGCTAGAACACTGCCTCCGTGGGATGAAGAGCCATATGTGATATCACATGGTCTTGGGCCCTGCAAGGGATCACACCTCTGGAAACCAAGTGCTAGATGAGGTAGGGGAGGTGTGCAGGGCAGCCAGTAGCTAGCACCATGTGTGTGCAGGGCAGCCAGTAGCTAGCACCACGTGTGTGCAGGGCAGCCAGCACTATGTTCCACTAACGTGTGGTATCTCCATCTACCCGGGTGACACTCTCACCTAACATCCAACCACATGTTCACACACTTCTCCACCCCCTGGATTTACATAGCAAGTGTTGTGCAAGTTACTCTTGAGATCCAGGGTAGGGTGGGCACTAGCTTGAAGTCATGTGTGGATCATGAGCAAGGCTGGGGCCTGCCTATGTCTGGTATGTTCATGGAGATGGAACACCAAAGGGCCCAGGCAACTGGGGAACCACTCAGCCACTGTCATAGTCCCCAAGAAACCTATGCTTTCCTGCTCCATGACCCGACATGATTCTGAGCACTCCAGAAACCACCATCTTGTCTGCCCTGCAACAGCCCCTCTCCCAACTGGCCTCCTCCTGGCCTCCCACTCAGGCAGGCCTCAGGGATCCCCATTCCCCATCAAAGAGCCCCTTTCTGAGCCTCAAGGAGAGCATTGAAAGGCCCCTACACAGGCTGCCTAGGCGACCACAGCTTGCTTGATTTGGCTGGCCACATGGATTTCCCCAAACCCAGCTATTTCCTGTCCCTAGGCTGCCCCCTCTCCACTGCCTGACCACAGGGCACAATCCCACCACACAGCTCAACACCAAGACTCCTGGATAGCACTGGGGACAGGGAGTGCACCTAGACTCCTCCTGGTCCTTGGGATCCACAGTGTGGCCCATTGGACCAAAGGATGATGGGATGCAAAGTGGCCTCTTCCTGTGACCTCTGACCTTGCCCCATCCCCTACTTGCTGGGGCAGTTTGGGGTAAGGGTAAGGAGTCTTCACATGGATCATTGCAAGACACAAGCTCACATAGACTGAGCCAGACTACCCCCCTGCCACCACCCCCGGTCCATTCCAACAAGCCTCGCTTGGCACTGGAAATAAAGGTTTCTGTCTAACCCAAGTGATGTGAGACCTTAGGAAAGTCACTTGGTGCCCCTGCATCTCTCTGAAGCTCCTTTTGCATCAGTGTTGGAGTCACATGCTCCTGGTTGCTTGGGGGAATTTGATAAAAAACAAGTAGAACACACAGTGAAATCTTCCATCTCTAGGGAGCCCTGACAGCTACCGGGCTAAGGTCTTTAGCCTTTGACTTTGTTTTTATGTGATGCTGAAGATTGAACCCAGAACTTTGTGCGTGCTTGGAAAGCACTGAATTATACCCCCAGCACTTGGATTCTTTAGACAGGGTCTCACTACACAGCTCAGGCTAGTGTAAATAGCTTGAGATCCTCTTGCCTCTGTCCCCAGGCATTTGATCTCTTTTGGTGACAGAACCTGATTCAAACTACCTAGGCAGACCTTCACTGCTCAGCAGCCTCAGCAGGGGAAGCAGGAGAAGGAGAAAGACACATGATGAGGAAAACTTCAGTCTTGGATCCAACCATGACTGAAGCCCAAATTCTGTGGCCTTTTCCCTCTGTGGTAAGACCTAAGAATCACCAGGGCCACTTTTGGAGACATTGGGCATAGTGGGCTCACTAAGGCTTCTGGTACTCACTTCCGTCTTCGCCCATGGTATGCTCTTCAGGATGCGACTGGCCAGGGTGAGCAAGCAGAGTCCTGACGTGCAAGTGGCCGTGCTTGCCTCCACTTTGCTCAGCTGGTGTGAACACTGAGCCCAGCCCTTCCCACACCATGGCGGCCCTGCACATTCTGCAACTTTGGCCTGGACCAGCCTTCACTTAGCACAACCTGTCGTTCACTCCATTTGGTGAAATGTCCCCTAAGAAACTTCATCCTCGGGACTCTGAGGTCATGGACTCCCCACTCTGCCACCCCCTGAACTAGGTGATGACCACCATTTATGGATCTGTGTCCCAGCCCCAGCCTGTGAGTTCCCAACATCCAGAACAGGCCCTAGCTGGAGGCCCTTACTGGAGATCCCCCTGGACCAGGGAGACGTGAGGAAGTTCACATAGTGACCTATGGTCAGAAACATCGTGTGGGGGTTGACACTGATAAGCTGGGCAGGCCCCTAGGGATGGGCAGAAGTGCTGTGCTCCTGTGTGCTGGGGTAGTGGAGGCTGGGGGCCAGAGGCAGGTCGTCTGTCCCTGCATCATCTGTCAAAAACCACATGAACCAGAGCAAAGCTTGCAGCTGCTTTATAGGTCCCTATTCCAAGTCACACACAAGCAATGACACAGGTGCAGCAGGAACCACCCTCAACCCTCCTCTCTCAACCCTGCAGCCCCGTCCACGCCACAGGCAAGGTGTAGATCCCTAGCTTAGGATTAATCCTCAGCACAACCCCCAGCGATGGGAAAGCAAACAGAGAGACATGGACCCACCCTCCCTGCTGCCACCATGGGACACAAGCCTCTGGATGGTTCTTCACCCGCCATGGGCTAGCCTGGCCCAAATGCACAGCCATGGTGACAGACAGCTACCCACAGAGCATCTGACTCCAATCCTGCCAAAACCTGAGCATAGCCTTAGTCAAAACAGGCTGGACCAACCTGGCTGTTGGGATGGCATGACAACCAGACCCTAAATCTGTCCGGTGGCTAAGGTGACCCTTGCAGGGACCTCACCACTGTGTTGCCATGGGGAACACAGAGCCAGTGCTTGACTGAAGGTGAGGACAGCTTGCCGTCAGAGCAGTGGCTTGTGGGAAGTGACTGCTTAAAACAGAAGCAACCATTGTTTCTCATGCCGAGCAGAATGGACAGGGCAGCTGCGGGATTGTCTGTCCGACTCCCCAGCCTCCAGCTATTAGAGGAAGTCAAGCAGAGAGAGGCTGGGTACCCACGGGCAGGCGCATTGAAGTGAGGGGTGGGAGGGGAAATGAGGAGTGGGAGGAGCTCCACTTCCTTTTCTTTTCCTTTGTTTGACACCTCAGCTTTTTTGCTGGATTTTATCATAAATCCTAGTAACGACGGTTAGCTGAATTGCTATTTGCTTAAGCAATCTGTTTGAAGCAATTGTTTTATATGTATACTTTGTGGGTACGAGAATGACAAATGACAAATGGGTACCATGATCATGAACTGCCCTGTAGCCTGAGATCTTCATATAAACAGACACCCGGAACTGTTGCTTGGCCAAATTCTTTTCCTGCTGCCTCTGCGGTGTTGGCTGCCTGGCTAAACAGATCAAGCTGGTTGCTGGTAACCAAACTCACCCTACCAAATTTGCCATGACTGTGCTCTGAACAAGTGTCATTGCTCATGGGGACAGGATGAGCTGCTAGGCTGAGTATTCTGAGACTCCAAGGAGTGACTCAGTCATGAGTGAGGGGTCCCCAGGAGGAGAGGACAGGAAGGGGGTGCACAAGCAGAGTGTCCTGTAGTAGGTCACAGCAGCCACCAAAGTGAAGAAGAAGCAGGAGGCGGAAGCTCCACCCCTCCCAGCCCAAGGGCTGAGGCCTAGTGGGCTCACACTTCTGAGTATGGGGGTGGAGCAGGGTCCCCCTCTGGATTCTTAGTGGGTAGAGACAAGGCTTCCTCATAGGACGGCAGAGCCACCTGGAAGAGACAGAGAAGACAGCTGAGCACCATCAAATTTAACCTGGGGTACAGGGACCCTCACCCCCTACATCCATCAAAATGATGACGGTGGCTTGCATGCTTGTGAGACTTGGGTATACTTCCTATTCCCACAGGAGATACACCAGACTCAGCCCATTGACCTCAGTACCCCAGGGCTTTGATGAACATTCTCAGTCCAAATACTCTCTAAAGAACTGGCTCCTGAGCCGGGTGTTGGTGGCGCACGCCTTTAATCCCAGCACTTGGGAGGCAGAGGCAGGCGGATCTCTGTGAGTTGGAGGCCAGCGTGGTCTACAGAGTGAGTGCCAGGACAGCCTCCAAAACTACACAGAGAAACCCTGTCTCGAAAAACCAAAAAAAAAAAAAAAAAAAAAAAAAAAACTGGCTCCTTGGACTAGAGAGATGACTCAGAAGTTAAGAGCACTAGCTGCTCTTCCAGAGGTTCTGATTCAATTCCCAGAAACCACATGGTGGCTCACAACCAAATAATGAGATCTGGTGCCCTCTTCTGGTGAACAAGGATACATTCAGACAGAGCACTGTACACATAATAAATAAATAAATCTTAAAAAAAAAAAACAGACAACAACAAAAAGAACTGGCCCCTATCTCTCCTGGCACGTGTCACGGGGGATAAGTCACTCAAAGTCAAATTCTATTCCCCTGGCTATCATCCTCTAACTGGGGAAAGTCAAGTGACCCAAGTTGGTCCAGTCATATGTACTACTCTTTCTGCTGGGGTGACTAAAAGGGTAGGGTGTCAGCTTATGGCTCCTGACAGTTATTTTGCTATAGGGAAGCTCTGCCTGAAACTGGAACCAAGACTGAGGACAGGAGAGTTGATGGGGACCAAGCCCCAAGATCAGGACTCAGTCACACTGACATTGAACATGTAAGTGCTACAGGATACTAAATTCCTTTTGGATTTTAAATCAACAGGAGTTAGGTCTCTGCTATTTGCTGCTGTAATTAAAACAGCTCCCACTGTTCAAAGAAGGTGAGCTACCAGCACTTAGGGAAGCTGCTATTTTTCTATTGCTTCACAGTCAGCTGCTTCCAGGCACTCTCTCTCTCTTTCCCATCCCCTACCAGAGGTCACCCCCTCCAGGAAGCATTTCCTGATGCACTGGTGTGCCAGCTCAGTGTTCAAGGTCCCTGTGTTTCATGCCAAGGTGTAAACACATCTCAGCGACTGGGGTCACTCTAGACTGTGCACACCCCTAAGACAGAGGTGGTATCTCAATGTCTTCTACCCTCTAGGATTGGGTACAAGACCAAAGGGACGAGAGGCAGAAAAGGGCAGAGGAAGGATTGAAGGACAGATGACGGATAATAAGTAGATGATGGTTGGTTGGATGGATGGTGGGTGGTGACTGAATGGGTGCATCTATGGATGGATGAGAGATGAAGGTTGTTTGGATGTGTGGTTAGATGGATGAATATAGGTAGATGAGTGGTGGGTCATAGGAGGATGAATTGAGGGATGGGTGGGTAGATGGTTGTTGGTGGGTGGATGTATGGATAGATGGATGAGTGAGTGGATGAATGAATGATGAGTAAATGGGCAGTTGTATGGATGGATGGATATATGGGTTAGATGATGATTTGATGAATGGGTAGATGGTTAAGTGAGTGGATTGGTAGGAAGATGAATGAATGAATGAATTGTAATATGAGTAAATGTATGAATGTATAATGGTTGGATGATGATGATGGATGGGTGGATGGATGGATGGATGGACAAGTAGGTGAATAGATGGGCAAATGAGTAGATGAGTGGGTGGGTGAATAGGTGGGTAGATGTCTAGATGATGAATAGGTGGGTGGGTAAGTGGGTAGTTGGCTGGGTGGTGGGTAGGTAGGTGGGTAGATGGATAGATGATGAAGGAATGGGTAGGTAGATGGATAGATAGATGATGGATAGACACACAATGGTGGGATGGATGAGTAGGTGTATGATGTATAATGGTTGGATGGGTGGATGAGTAGGTAGATAGATAAATGAATGAATGAATGAATAGATGGGTAGGTAGGTGGGTAGATGGATGAATGAATAGATGAATTGATGGGTGGGTGGGTAGGTGGGTAGATGGTTGGATGATGGGTGGGTGGATAGATGGAATCTTAGACCATCAGAGTTGATGCTGTTTACATTTCTTCCAAGCCAACAATCTTCTTACAAGTACTGAGGCCCAGAAAGGAATTGGCCCCAAGTGGCACAGCAAAAGAGTGGTAGCCCTGGTATTTGACCCTCCATCGGGCTCACCTTGAGGAACATCTTGGAGCTGCTGTTCTCTGTGGCCGAATTTGTGTACTTTATTAGTCTGTAGCATCTCAACACACACTTGAACATGTAGACCTGGAAAAGAGCCTGTTTAGACTGTGCTCTGTTTAACCCCTGCTCTTGCCTGAGAAGCTCTGGACAGATACTCAATGCCTCCAGGGAATCACACTCGCTCACCCCAGAAGGCAGCATCCAGACAGCTGCTCAGACTCCCCTTCCATTCTGGCTTTGGGCTTCCTCACACGCCAGCTTGGCACGGCCCCGAGACTGCCCATCCTGATACCCATAGCCACCATGCAGCAAGGACTCTCCAGGCTTCTGATCACCCTCCAGTCTCACTGGACACTGCCAGGCACACCCTGCTCAGCCATTTGAGTAATGGGGAGTCACTACCTGAAGGGCCTCATTCATCTTGAAACAGCACAACAGTGGGAAAGTCCCCTTGACAACTACCTCTGAGCTGAGAATGGGGCACACCTGTGATCCCAGCACTTGGAAAGTGGAGGCAGGGGGATCAGGAGTCAAAGTCAGTCTGGGCTACATAGTGAGTTTGTCCCAAAAACAAAACAAAGCCTCCTGATACACTGCTGTGTTTTTAAGAGCACACAGAATAGTGTGTGTCACCTCAGTCCACAGGGCTGAAGTCTAACTTAGGACAGCACACTGGGCCAGTGTCACAAAGAGTTACATGCTGGTCCCGGGCACCTGAGTACATGTGGCTCCACAGACCCACAGCCTCTAAGCAGAATGTTCCCAAGGATTCCAAGCCATGTCAGAGGAGCTGAGGCAGGAGGGCTAGGGAGAGGTTAGAAGCAGGAGGGGACCACAAGCCTGCCTCCTCACCCGGGCCACTGCACCAGGCTCACAGAACCATGGGGTTGCAGGGTCACTCACCTTCAGGATGAGCACAGTGACAAAGGCCACTGAGAAAATGATCATCATGTTGACGAACTGACTGTGAGGCATGCCTTCTTGATTCGGGAGATAATTCTGCAACAATACAGAACCACATCAACACCTCAGCCCTGGGGGCTCTAGTCCCCCCACCAGTCAGGGTCACAGGCGCACGTGCACACGCACACACACACACACACACACACACACACTGCACCTTGGCAACTCCCAACTCAGGAGACCCAGGGAAATGAGTGTAGCTGGTGTATCCCAGGTTGGGAACCACCTCATATCTTCGGATGGCGTTAGCTGCTAAGAGTCACCCAGTCCTCTGACACCTGGCAGGTCACACCCACCACCACCAGGGTAGCTCCAGCTAGGACCAACTTGCTTGACACCACCTCTGGGCAAGGAGCAGATATACCCACACATTCTGTCTGCCTGTCTGTTTGTTGAAACACTCTTGTAATGTAGCCCAGATGGTCTCAGACTTACAGCCTCAGTCTCCCAAGTGCTGGGATTACAGGTGAGCACCACTGCTCCTGACACCCCACACCTTCTTTGATCCCCCTTCTTCTGAATTAAGGAACACTGGCCTCTTTCCTGGAGGGTGGGCTAGACTCATTCAGGGGCAGATGTGAGCTTTCCAGAACAGCCAGTCTGATGTCAGACTGTTGATGCCTCCCTCTCTCCGTCTCAATCCCTCACTGAGAACAGACAGCAGCCATGCCCTGAGGATACTCGGGCTGCCCTACTTAATGTCCACATATGAGGAACTGAGTAAGACGTCAATGCTAAGGCAAGAACCCATGGGGGAGCAGATTCCTCATCTCCAGCCTCGCTGCCATGCTGTCACCAACTGAACTATCTAACAAGCCACCCCAAAGTTCCTGGTCCTTTGAACTGTACCATAACGAGTTATTTTAAGCCACAATTCTGGGGACAGTGAATTAGACAGCAGTGTACACTTGGTGTCATTCCTATAACACAGCTCTCAGGGCAGGATGCTATAAGGCTCATCATGGCCAGGCCTCCTTTTACCCTATGTGCTTCGGTCTGATATTTGTTCCCCCAGTAAACCACTCACACCTGAGTCTCTCCCCCCCCCCCAGGAAACTCAGTCTCTGACCATGACCGCTCTCTGGGGTGTTTGGGGGGGGGACCTTGCCCCGGGCTACACAGCCAAGATGTGGCCCGATCTTCTACCAAGACTCACCATGTGGTTCATGGACTTGAAGTTAAGGTAGGTGGGCACTTCCATGTAGGTGCTGCACAGGGTCAAGATACTCAAGCAGAAGTCAAGCAGCTGCAGTGTCATCAAGGGGACCTTAGAGGAACCCTGAGGAGGACCAAGAAGAAGCATGAAACTGCGTGAGCAGGGCACAGAGTGGCCCTCCCTTGGAGAGACTCTCCACACAAGCCACCAGCCGTCTCCTCGTCAACTGTGCTTAGAAAAGGGGACGCGTGATGCTCACATCAGGGTGTGTGCAGAGCTGGGACCACAAACAGGGGTCTTCTAACTCCGGGCCCTCCCACCTTCCAGAAGCCCAGCCCTTCAAGGACTAGAGTTAGGGGATTGTGAAAGGCAAGTGGGACCGAGCTGTGTGCATTGTGACTGGCGAGGACCACCACAGTTTTCCTCCATTCCTTCGTCCCTTGGTCTTGATTCCATCTGTCTCCATTTTATTCCAAAAGAGGAATTAGACTAAGGCTGAATCCTGAAAAGGCAGCACCCTGTTCTCCAATGTAAATAACCATCTCACCAGGCTCTGAGGCCTGGAAACATATTACTCTCATCTGGGTCTGGGGCTGCTACCCTGTGGTAGCATTACACCCAGGATTCCAACCCCATATCACCCTCGTTTGGTTCCAAGGAATGAGGTACAGCCTGCAGAGAAAGGAGCCTGGGTGTGGTTTGCAGGGATTAGGGCCTTACTGAAGGATACCAAGGAGGAAAGGGACCCTGCCCTGGCCAGGCTGCCCAGATAAGGTCATGCACATGGGTACTTACGGGCCGGGGCCGGGTGGCAAGCTTCAGGTAGGCTGGCAACTCGATGTAGGAGCCCAGCAGTGTGAGCAGGCACAGCAAGAAATCCATGATTTGAAGGGACAGGAAGGGCATCAGGTACTTTTCCCGGTTCTAGAAGGCAGGTCCATCCGGTCAGGTGCCCCTGACATGCCAACACTCCAGTGCTGTCCCTGTCCCCATGCATCCTGTTCCCTCCCTGGCTTTCACTGATGCTACCAGATCAGTGACTAGGCCCTGCCTGGATCCACACACCTTCCTGCGAGTCACACTCTGGGGACTGGGAGAGGAGCATCTTGGTGTCTCAGAGGACACCAGGGAACCAGCTACATATACAGGGACTCTGCTATAGCTTTTTGTTTGTCTGTCTTTTGGGTTGTTGCTTTGTTTTTGTTTTCTTTTTAAGATGTGATCTCATATATTCTAGGCTGGCCTCAAACTCCCTTTGTATCCAGGGATGACCTGGAACTCCTAAGTCTCCTGACTCTGCCTCCAGAGCACCTAGATTGCAGGTCAGGTATGCACTATCACGACCTGTCTGTGCAGTGCTGAGTATTGAACCCAGGGCCCTGTGTGTGTGTGTGTGTGTGAGAGAGAGAGAGAGAGAGAGAGACAGAGAGAGAGAGAGAGAGAGACAGAGAGAGAGAGAGAGAGAGAGACAGAGAGAGAGAGAGAGACAGAGAGAGAGAGAGAGAGAGAGAGAGAGAGAGAGAGAGAGAGAGAGAGAGAGAGAGAGAGAGCCCAGAAAAGAAGTCATGAGATAATGGCACAGGAAACTGGGGAACTACGGGGTATGGAAGATCACTGGGGGTGTGCTCTGGACTTATCCATGGCCCATTTTCTCCTCTCCCTCCTTCCTGGCTACCATGAAGTGAGCAGCTTTGCCAGCCAAATGCCACTCCCCCCCCCCCCGGGATGTTGTGCTTCGTGTCACACCCAAAGAAGGAGAGCCCAGCACACGTGGGCGGGAAACACAAGCCAAAGCGAACCCTCCTCCTGCATGGTTCTCTCGGGTGTTTTCATCCCAGCCGCGGAGCAGAACCTGACTTGTTATTTCTTCCTCAAGGACCCACGAGGTGTCCACTCTACAGAGAAGGGAACTGGACAGGATATGCTGGAAGGAGACACCAGCTAGATCCATAGTTTGTTAGATGAGGGGACTGAGCACTAGTCCACAGGCAGAGGCGCCCGCAGGTAAAGGCCGGGGGAGGAAGCTGCAGGGGGAGGAGCCTGCCTTGGGTAGTAACATCTTCCTCCAGGTAGTCAAGGCCATTGTGATAGGTCGTGGAAAGAGTCCCCAGGAGGTCAATCAGTGTCTCTCTCCATCCTGGGAGCCCAGCACCCATGCATATATGCCCCCATTGCCGGGCAAAGTCACAGACAAGGTGGCATCCTGGGGAGCCTCATGCTTGTCTAAGCCACTCAGAGGTGATGGAGAAACCCTGTTTGAGGCTTCAGGGACCCCTGTTTTTTTTTTTTAGCTGGACAGTGTGAGTTTCTGCAGCGTCCCCTGTAGGCACACCACGCAGTAGGGACACACCTAAGAGGTAAGGCTCTCAGACACAGCAGGGGTGGCCAGGGAGTGAAACACTCCAGGCCATCATAAGACCACCACCTCTACCAGGCCAGCATCCCCATGACCAGCAGGGCTAGTCTAGGTGGCTAAGTGACAAGCCTCCTACCTCCCTGGGGGCCATGGCTCCTCTTTCACAGGAAGTGGAGTCACAGCCTGACTCAGTCTCCTCCAGACTCCCCCAAGTCACCCCTACTCCCTCTCTGGGTCTGTCTGCCTTCCCCAGTACAGCCACACATTCCCAGGATTTCATGAGCCAGGGTCCCTCTGCAGTGGGGGTGGGGCAGGGACTCTTGTCCCTAAGGACAAGCCCAGTGATATCAATTTCCCTATACTCCACACTATGGTCCCCTTCTCTTATCTCAAAGCCCCCAACCCTACTCATAGTCTGCAGAATGCAGATTACTGTGTGTACCCCGCCACCCCGAAGCCCCACTAATAGCCCAGCCCAGCCCCCAGAAGGTCACGCCCTGGAAGGGACTGAAGCTGACAGATTATGGAGTCCCATGGGAACAGCATCTCCCCCGAATGAGCCTGTGAAGATCTGTGGGGTTCTCAGGACAGCAGGAAGGCATCTGCTCCCGGTCCCTGCATCCCTGCACAGGCCTCACCTTGACCACTCCGTACAGCAGGCTGATGCTGATGGCGAAGAGCACTCCAATGAGCAGGAAGCTGGAGATCAGGTCGGCTGCAAGGCAGGGTAGAGACTGAGGCAAAGCCTGAATGGGTTCCTGGGATCAGGCTTTAGGAACCTCTAGTAAGGGACCATGAGTGTGAACAGCTAAGCCTGGGACCAGACCAGGGTAGGAGGCTGGTTCTCCTCACCCAGGTGAGGGCTATGAATGGCAGAGGGAGAGATTGGTGGGCAGGATACGTGTGAAGTAGCCAATACGGTGGGAACTTGGGTCTGAGCCTCAGAGCCTGAGAAAGCGATTAGTACAAACAGGAGAGAACCTCGTTTGAAGATGAAATATCCCAGGCTCCTCAAGAGTCAGGGGCACACAGAGGTCCAGCAAAGACAGCAGGACCTCAGACCCCAGCCCATGTGCCCTAACCGTGCGCTGACCCCGGGACCCTCTCAACCACTGCTGTCCCCAGACATACCGATCCTGAGGTACGGCATCTTGGAGAACCTGCAGGAGACCTTACCGCGGGCCACCTCCACCACATGCTCGATGAACAGCAAGACACTCATGACCTGAGGGAGAGTGGAACACCAGGCAGTCAGGACCGCCATCCAAGCAGGGTGCTGTCAAGGCGCTGGAGTGACAGCTTGCTTAGTCAGTGAGCATCCTGGGTAAATATACAGAGCCCGAGGGCCTCATCCTGACCCTTCCTCTTCCTTGCTGTGTGACGTGGTACCTCAGTTTCCTCATCTATATGTAGGGTTCATTCAGAAGCTCTTAGGTACCCCTGTGAGGAGGGACATGGCAGACTCAGAAGGGACACCCTGCTTCTAGAAAGCATTGCCTCTCTCTCTCATGGGCTAAAGATCGGGTACCCCAACTGCACCCCTTCCCTGCACTCCTCAGTCCAGAACAGGCTCTGGCTGACATAGGACCTTGGTCACCACACCCAAGCATCAAGGACTTCAAGCCCATGAGCTGTCAGCAGTGGTCTAAGATGCACTGAGGAGTACTAGGCCCTGGGTGAGGTGCTGCCAGTCACCACAGCTCCAGGGTCCATGCTTTCCCATCTACGAAGGAACTGACAACACAACTAGGAGCAGGTGTGGCCTGGGCTGCCAGCTCCAGGAGAGAGGCCTGGGTCTCTTGTTTATTTACTGATGTGGCTGTTGCATTTAGAGAATGAATGGATGAATGAGGCCTATGCCTTGGGGACTCTTACCATGAGGGACAGAGAGAAATGGTGATCCTGACAGGCCTAAGTATTGAGTGTCCCAGTTGCCAAAACTGCAGTTTGAAAGGACGTCGGGGGTCACATTTTGTCCACACAATGGCCACCCAGCAGAAGAGAGTACTGCGCTATGCAACCGCTGGTGGACCTCATACCCTTCCGCGTGCCTGTGTCTTTCCAGGAGTTCTGAGCCCCTTCCACACTACAACACACTCAGTTAGTCACCCTGGCACAATCCCCCACCCTGAGGTCAGCATCCCCCCCCTTGTGTGGGTTCACTATTCCCATCAACACAGCCTCGGCCTTCCACACTACAACACACTCAGTTAGTCACCCTGGCACAATCCCCCACCCTGAGGTCAGCATCCCCCCCTTGTGTGGGTACACTATTCCCATCAACACAGCCTCGGCCTTCCACACTACAACACACTCAGTCACCCTGGCACAATCCCCCACACTGAGGTCAGCATCCCCCCCCTTGTGTGGGTTCACTATTCCCATCAACACAGCCTCGGCCTTCCACACTACAACACACTCAGTCACCCTGGCACAATCCCCCACCCTGAGGTCAGCATCCCCCCCCTTGTGTGGGTTCACTATTCCCATCAACACAGTCTCGGCCTTCCACACTACAACACACTCAGTTAGTCACCCTGGCACAATCCCCCACCCTGAGGTCAGCATCCCCCCCTTGTGTGGGTTCACTATTCCCATCAACACAGCCTCAGCCTTCCACACTACAACACACTCAGTCACCCTGGCACAATCCCCCACCCTGAGGTCAGCATCCCCCCCCTTGTGTGGGTTCACTATTCCCATCAACACAGTCTCGGCCTTCCACACTACAACACACTCAGTTAGTCACCCTGGCACAATCCCCCACACTGAGGTCAGCATCCCCCTCCCTTGTGTGGGTACACTATTCCCATCAACACAGCCTCGGCCTTCCACACTACAACACACTCAGTTAGTCACCCTGGCACAATCCCCCACACTGAGGTCAGCATCCCCCTCCCTTGTGTGGGTACACTATTTCCATCAACACAGCCTCGGCCTTCCACACTACAACACACTCAGTTAGTCACCCTGGCACAATCCCCCACCCTGAGGTCAGCATCCCCCCCTTGTGTGGGTTCACTATTCCCATCAACACAGCCTCGGCCTTCCACACTACAACACACTCAGTTAGTCACCCTGGCACAATCCCCCACCCTGAGGTCAGCATCCCCCCCTTGTGTGGGTACACTATTCCCATCAACACAGCCTCGGCCTTCCACACTACAACACACTCAGTCACCCTGGCACAATCCCCCACCCTGAGGTCAGCATCCCCCCCTTGTGTGGGTTCACTATTCCCATCAACACAGTCTCGGCTTGCTGAGTCACACTGAGCAGACAGATGCCCTCCATCTGCTTCCCCTTGCTGACTCTGGGAGACTGGTGTTTGGTTGGTTTTGAGGGTTTTTTGGTCTTTAGCATGAATACCAGTCTCAGTCTGTCATTCTGAACCTCCAGTTTGGGAACTCAGAAAGGACAGCATAGGAAATGGATAGAGAGACGGATCTAGGCTTTGGGTCCAGATTGCTGTGTGTCCTTGAAAAAGTCACTTCGCCTCTCTGAGTTTGTCCATCTGTAACAAGGTAATTGTAGGATGCAGGAGGCACAGGCTGCATGGCTTAGAAAAGCCTTGCGGGGAACCTGGCAGAGGCAGAGGTCAGAGTCTGCCTTGGGTTGGGCAACTTCACTGACAGGCTTGTTCTAACTGCTCCTCTGCCTGATGAGAAGGGATCCAAAGGCTGTTTTATTCAAAAGACAACAGGCTCAAGAAAGGGCTGAAGCCCCACCCCCAGGCCTGAGCCCAGGAACTTTGCCAAGTAACTCAAAATGAGATGGTCCCAACTTCCAGTTGTCACATGAGCCCTGGGTCCGCTTGTAGTATGGGATCTCTCTGTTCATTTCATGAGTTCAGAAAGACGAGGAGACTTGATATCACATGGCAAGCAAGAGCAGGGTGGAAATAAACATCCAAGTCTTCAGTGCTATCCTAGCACTTGCTGCGGGGATGTCCTTCTGTATGCTGTGGATATGTGTTTCTCTTATTGGTTGATGAATAAATGCTAATTAGCCAGTAGCCAGGCAGGAAATATAGGCAGGGCTACCAGACTAGGAGAATTCTGGGAAGAAAAGAGACAGGGAAGCAGGAGAGAGAGATAGAGAGAGAGAGACAGAGACAGAGAGAGAGACAGAGAGAGAGAGTCCACTGGGAAGGTAGGATGCCTGGCCATTCTCTGGTAAAATAAAGCCATGTAGAAATACATAGATTAATAGTTACCTGTTAATAACTAAGAGAGAGCTAGATAACAAGAAACCTGAGCTATATATTAATTATAGCTTATAATTAATATAAGCCTCTGTGTGTTTATTTGGTACTAAATGGGACCAGTGAAAGCCAGAACCTCCTTCTACACCTTGCCACCTCCAAACACACTGAACCAGGTCTGCTGGCCCAGACCCCAGGAGGAATAGTCACCATGGCCACACACCAACATCCAGGAAAGCTTCAGAACATGTCTGCACTCCCAAGCTGTGTGCAGGGCACTGAAAACGTCATAACTACACGCCAAGACCCTCTAGAGATTAACCAAGGAGGGGGTACAAACTTCAGAAAGCCTCATATTGGGGCTGGGGTACAGTGCTTGTCCATCGTGCAGGACACTCTGGCTTGACCTCCAGCACCCCAAAATCACGCATACTGCGTTGTTTTGCAATACTACTTCCTGAGAGGTGGAGGCAGGAGTATCAGGGTTGTCCACACTAAGTTATACAGTCAGTTTGAGTCCAGCCTGGGCTGCATGAGGCCCTGACTCAAGAGGAATAAATAAGCAGTCTCACACTGCATCTAGGAGTCCTGAGGACCACCTTAACTATATCCCCACTTACTTCAGGGAACATGGCTCCTCACAGTCCCTACCGCCACGGACTCCTCATCCTCGGCCTGTACTCTGAGGGACACCACCACTTATGTCCCAGCAACAACCCTTGGGAGTAGCCAGTGACGTGGGAAGTGTCAAGAGAGGGCATGACAGGGTCGGTCTTCATACTCTGCCCCTTCCACAGGCCAGTCTCAGAGGTTGCGGTCTTCACCCTTGGCTCCCTGTGTCTTTGGCCTCCTGGCCCTGCTGAGGCTCGCCCCGCACCCTCCCTTATGGGATCCTCAAGAAGGTTGGTCAGGGGCCCTCCGGGACCTCAGCAGCAGGAATGTTTGTTAGGCTCAGAGTGTCCTCCGGCTCCCCCCACCCCTGCAAAAAAAAAAAAAAGAAACGTTTCTGCTTAGCTCTCTGTCACCCTGGATCTCTACTCGGTTGTCTAGGGCCTGGGGGGAGAGGGGGTTGTCCTCCTCATTTGCCATTTAAGAGTCTGGGGCTCTGAGAGGTCAGATAGCAGCCCAAGGTCACACAGCTCAGCAGGAAGGAGGCATCCTCAGAGTCCTCTGCCTTGTGCTCCCCAAGAGACGGAATGGCAGCTCCTGACATTACTGGCCCCACTGTGTGTTCAGACTTGAACACAAGTTTGGCCTACAAAATTGCCTGTGGTCCAGTAAACAGGACATAAGGAACCTGTCATACACCCCAGGCAACGAGGCCCAAGGGGAGAGGAGAGGGGCTGCTCTGTTCCATGGGTCATGTTGGATGGAACCTTGTGCCTCTGCTCCCAGACCCGGGGCTCTTCCCGGGGCTGGTGGGCCTGTTCACAGCCTCCTGCCTCCTCCCTGGGATCTATCCAGGGGCCCTGGCTCTCAGAGCTGCAGACACTGGAGTCCCACAGACTCCCTTCCTGTCTGTGTCTCCTGTGATGCTGGCCCTCTTACCTCGGTTTTTACAATTCAAAGGGTCTCTTCCACGGGCTCCTGAGGCCACTGGAAGAATATGAGAGGGCTATGGAGCAAAGCCCCATATCAATGGCTTCCACTTACAAGGCCTCCGGCTGCACCAGCCCAGAGGCCACCGTTCAGGCGTGGCCACACGCCTCAGTGAGCATCAAGCTCCCTAGAAGCAATCGTCTCTTTCAGGGCAACCATGAGAGGACAGAGGACAAAAAGGGGGCTTTCCAGGCCTAGCTTCCCCTCTCACTGACCCTGGACTCCACCTAGCTGCAGCCCTGAGACTCTCCCAGGCTGCAGGAGGCTGGCTGGCAGTGTCCTGGGAAACCGTGCTATTCTCTCTCCATAGTAGAGACGGACGTCATTGGGCCGCTGTCCCCACCACACAGGTGACCTTATGTGGCTCTAGGCTCTGCACCCTGAGCTGACCACTGACCCCTCGGGGCTCTGACATGAAGACA